GAGGGGAGGTTGGCCGCTCCCCTTCTCCCCCCCACCCCACCCCCCGCGGGAGAAAGAGACCCCCGCGCCCTCCTTTGGCCCAAGCGCGCAGATGCTCCCAGTTTGGGCGTTGGATCTGGAGGAGGGGGCTTTGGGTTTTCTCTTCCCAAACCGGAGGGCCGTGTTGTCTTCGGTGGGGGGTTGGGCTTCGGGATGGGAAGCCCCTCCCTCTGCAAAGCCCCTCCCGCTGCTTGTCCTTCCTCTCCCTTCGAGGAGGGGCTGCGCGTTTGCTCCCCAGCGGCTGACTTTCTCCACGTGGGAGAGGAAGCCTTGACTTTCCTTCAGAAAGAAAGATCCTGGGGTCCTCGCGTCGCCCCCCCTCTTAGTGCTCATCTCGTCGAAAGGGGGCTGGGGGCTTCACCGGTGCTTAGTGGAAAACCAGAAGGGTGGGGCACTTCCTCTCCTTCTGCCCCTCCAAACTTCCCTGGGATGCTTTGCATTTATTTGGCCAAACTGCGGTCTCCAAGTTTCCAAATTTGTTTGCAAATTCTGAGAAGCTCCTTTGTATCCATCTGGGCCTCCTTTGTTTATTTCTGTTTGATAACAATTTCTCAAGGTCCCAACCAGGCAGAGAAAACCAGGCTGGGGTGTGTGTGAAGATGTCGAATCCAGAAGTTGCAAGAAAGTGGGCTTCTGCCTGGCGGTTTAGCATTTCTCCCAAGGAGATTCTGCGGCTTTTTTCTCTCCTCCCTCTAAAAGGGCTCAAAAGACAGGTGGGCAGGATTGGTGCTGATGCTCAACTGTGGTTTGTTTCAACATAGCTTGCTGAATAATCCAGGATGGGGGTTGGATGTTGCAAGACTTGAGACTAAACCACCGTGGGGGAATCTGCGGAATGTAACTGCAAGGGATTCTAAGAGCTTTCTTCTTTTGGATAAGAGTTTTATCATTTTGATCTGTGGGCAGCCAGGCTGGCTGAGGATGATGGGATAGCAATCTAGGATGCCGCTAGGACACCTTGCGAGAAGGGAAGTAATACCCCGAGTTTCAGATTGACATTATCTGGTTGAAGTTCTTTGGATCCTCTTCTGTCTGTAGTGAATTGCTCAATGAAATAGAATCTGGGGTGGGAGTTAAAATCCCTGTTTGAGCCTCCTTCCTTCTTTCCTTCCTTCCTTCCTTCCTTCCTTCCTTCCTTCCTTCCTTCCTTCCTTCCTTCCTTCCTTCCTTCCCATCTTCCCTAAGAGTTTGTCTTGTTATTTTCATTTTGTACCCCCCCCTTTCCCCTTTCTGATTGTTAACCACCCTGAGTCTCTTGGGAATAGGGCGGCATACAAACTGAATAAAATCTAAAATTTATATGCCACCCATTCCTTAGGGCACAAAATGTCTAGCAAAAATCCCCAGCTGTTTTGGACAGAAAAACAAATTTTAACAATCCAAGAAGGACTAAGTGGTAAAACAGCATTTGGAAAACCTTTCTGCTTCCCCACAATTTATACCAAATTTACTGATAAGCCCAAATTTGCATGTCTGGCCACACCCCCTTTTATCTGCGCCTGAAACCTGGTGCGGACGTTGCTGAGTGATTAAGTTACTTCCCACCTCTTGTCTATTTTTCTCCTTCCCTAACTGTCTTGAGGACAGGAACTCTCAGAATCGTGCCACGCTTTCGCAGAATTTTCCCTGGTGCAGGGGAGCGCTGGCGGATCGCTCCGGAGAAGAAGTGAACACACAGAAGGGTCTTGGAGGGGAAGGCCCTCCCTTGAGGCATGAAACACATCTGGAGGGCACCAGGTTGAAGAGGGTGCTCCGGGGAAGACCGCCTGGCTTTCTTCCTTTGCTCACTCAACCAACGGATGGATTTCCATCAGTCTTCCGCCTCTTGGTCTCCCGGTGCTTCGGTTCATGGAGGAGGGCCCAGGGCAGCTTTAAAAGATTGTTATAGTCTGTGATTGTCGGACGGGAGAGTGGCAGTTGGAGTCCAAGGGTCCTCAGAGAACAAGGGTGCTGGCCTCAGAGTGGCATTGCCCCCGTGCGTAGAAAGGCGGGTTTATTGGTTTGGTTTTAAAATGATGGCACTCTCCCAACTCCGGGAGGAAGTCTTGGTGGCATCAAGGAAGGCTTTACGTCATCAGGGTTGAGGGTTCGTCTCTTCCATCACCACCACCCCGTGAAGACGGAGCTTATCTGCTTGCTGCAGCACAGCTGCTCAAAGGATTGCCTTGACGCCTTCTTCGTTTGCCCTGCGTGTTAACAATCAGCCCTCCGAGGAAGGCCAGACAAGACACACATGCCACGACTACTCCGATTGTAAGCTTATAGCAGTGGAATCCTGCAAAGCTGGAAGCCTTAGCGCCTGATTTGCAGCCAGCTTCCCATGCCTCTCTTCCTTCTGCGCGCTGAGACGCGTTTTGTAAGAGAGCCGGCTAGAATGGAGGTGCTTCCGCCTCTCCCGAGGTCCTTCCCGCTAACCAGCGTGGCGGGATTGTGAGATTTGGGTTGGAAAAAAGGTGACGGAAGGACACCCCCTGGTTGAATGAAGCCCACTCTGATTCTGCAGGGCCTCCCCAGGGGGCCTCCTGGAAGGGGGTCCCTTGGCTAGAGAGAGAGAGAGAGAGAACCTGGGGGGGGGGGGGGGAAAGAAGGGGCTCCCTTGTTTTACGCCCAGTCGCTTTCTGCAAAACAGGCCGGACTGGGTGACCCTTTAGAGAAATTGTGCGGGTTTCATTGCAAAACTTGAAGGACCCTTGTGCGATCAGGACTGGGCTAATCTCCCCGTGGAGATTCGTACCCTCACCACCCTCCAGACCTTCCGCACAGCCCTCAGAATCTGGCTATCCCGTCAGGCCTGGGGCTAAAGATTGTAACCCGCCCGAATGGTATGAATGTTGTGTGTTTTAATTATGTATTGTCTTATATGTAAAAAGTCTGTTTTCCCTCCTTTCCTTTTTGG